AGAATTACTTTAACAGCCTTGTCTGGACTCTGCTTTCAAAAGCCCTGCCAGCCATTCTAGGCTGCTCACAAAGAGCAGCTATTGATTTCTAAGGATCCTGGGATGGTTGGCAGCTCTGCAGGGCCTTACCTCCTCCTTAGCACAGAAAGCCGTTTCCAGCCTGAGGAGCAGGTGGTTCAGGAGAAGGAGGAGGAGGAAGGGGAGAAGGGCTGCCACATGCTTCCTAGGCATGTGTCTCAGTGAGGCCCAATCCTTTAACTGGCTCATCCACTCAGCAGCTGACAGGCCTACTTGTGGCATTTAGCTCATTCTAAAGACTCATCTACTCTACATCCTTCAGGCTCTGTTTAAGACCATGCATCCTCTGGAGGCTTGGGGTCAGAGGGTGCTAAGTCCTTGCCCAGGGATTGAGGGTCCTACAGAACCAGGGTACTTCTGGGTAACACTGATGAACTCTGTCTGATGGGTAGCAACAGCCACCGTTTATGAAGTACTCCCAAGTGTAGCCTTCTGGAATATTAACTGACAGCCCTTTGAAGTTTGTGTTGTTATTTCCTCTGTTTTGCAGATAAGACTTAACCCCAATGAGTACAAAGTAAGCTGCCCACAGTCACAGTAAGGGAGGGGCAGGTGGATCTAGGTTGCTGTGGAAGCTGTCATGCTAAGGGCTATCCTGACAATCTGGGAAGATGGTCCTATGCTTACTGCAGACTCATGCAACTACAGGGAGCCTCCTGCATTCTCTTGAGGCAACAGCCCTGAGCTCAGCAAGGACTGTTGCTTCTGGCTGTTTCGCTTTCTTTCTCTTCATCAGTTTTTCAGAAACTATGAGGAAAGTGTCACTGTTAACTGCTGTTTTAATGTTGTTTTTGGCTTCTTGGAGTTTGCAGACCAGCAGGAACCAGTGTCCTGTGGGCTGACAAGAGAGGCTGCTCGTCACCTGTTCATGAAGCTGGCTTGTGGATTCCCCATAGGCTGCTCCATGAAGAGTGAGGGTCAACACTGGGGACCTGGTGGCAGCAGTTCAGACAGAGTAGTGACAGTTATTGACACCTGTCTTCTATAGAGACCTCTATTTGTCAGGTAAACTGGATAGCTCATACCAGCTCCCTGCCATATCAATTGGGATTTCAGGAGGCATAAATCTGCATTTCTCAGAATAGAACCTACCAAGAATCAGCTCTGTCATGGACTATCAGTCCATGCCATGAAGGACAAACTTGCATCCCTTCACACAAAAGAGGTTGACTTCCTTCTAGATTTTAAATATCTGTGCAAAGGTCACTGCAAAAGCTACCAAAGCATGGGTTCAAATCTCTGCCCTGCCCCTTCTGACCATGACAGTGAAGTGTATCACTGCACAGTGGCCTTTTCTATAAGGAATGGTTGCCCACCCCATAGGAAGGGTCATTAGGTTCCTAAAGCCTCTAAGAGGCTGGGCACGCAGATCGTCTAGAGCAACTGGTGCAGCTAGTTTTATTTAACTATGCAGGTGCCATGCACTGTTCACAGAGAATCAAGTTCTTCTGACAGTTGCTGCAGAGAGGACCGGAAGCCAGCACTTGAGTTTCACCTCATAAACAGATCCTGAGGCATCTGAGCACATGTTCCTTGTTGTCACTAGAAGAGCTTTAGTTCCTACTGAAATTTGGGGTTTGTCTTGATCTTAACGAAGAAAGGAGGGCAAGGCGTGATTTGCCTGAATGTGATGATATAGAGAACATTCTAGTATGAAAGGAAATGCCAGAGGCTTTTTTACATTCATAATCCTTTTTTGATTTGGCAGGTAATTATGGTAACTCTGGGATCCTCACAGATTTAAACACTCCCTCATAGCCTTGTTATATTTGAAGATCATTGTCCTTGATACTCCAACTTGAAGGAAACACTCAGCTTCCTGAAGCTCTGAAAGTAGCATCTTCCAAGCTCTTTCGTTCCTTCCAAAATACAGTCATGGTCCATTTGACCCAAAGGAAGACTGTTATGTGTTCCTCCTGCCATCCTACACCAGCACTATTACCATGCCAGCAGGCAGTCAACAATATGGCAGTTTTGCTTTGAGGGACTTCCATTTTTTTCTGTGGCTTTTTTTCATTTACCTTCTCAAGGGTTTCCTTTATGACCCCTCCTCCATGTCTTGTGACCGAACATACGGAAGCTTTCACTTACTGGGCATTTACCCTGCCTCACACATGCTGCATGTCTGTGAACTGGCACCTCCTCACACCTGCATTGTGGTCCAATTAGGTGATAGTCTGAATGTCCATTTTGTAATGATGAGCCTCAGGTGCACAGGGCTTTCTCCTTGTTTGTGGGGGGACTCTTTGTGTGGTGACTTTTTTCTTGTTTGTGGGATGTTTGTGGGGTGACTTATCTTTGTCTGTGGGGTGACTTCCCATAGCTCTGCATGGCTGTGGAACAGAGAAGATTGTCAGGGCCTAGTGATGTTACCAAAGGACCAAAGGTGAGAAGTGGAGTGAGGGAGAGAGTGTGGATTTTGTCCTGAAGCTAGTAGACACATTATGGGTATCAAACAGGAGGTGAGAGAATGAGATGTGACTGTGTGAGCCTAAGGGGAGTAGGTTGAAGGGCCCTTGTTCTCTCAGCCCCAGCCTTGCAGTTCCATTGTGCTGCCCTCCAGCAGTTTTGGGAGATGCTGGCCTCATGGCTGCTTTTAGTTTTGTGACAGTGGGATCTGTTTGTGATGCACATTCCACATTGGAGGTTCTCCAAGTCCTGAAGTTGTTTCTAGTTGTATTTGGGTTTGGAAATAGTTACTTGAGAAGCGCTAAGCTCACGTGGCCTATGTAATATGTAAGCTGTTTAGCTGGTTGTGAAGAAATACGCTTCATAAAAACGCCAGGTGAGACAGAAAGCTTGCCTTCACAGATCAGCCTCAGACAGTGAACATCACAGCTTAATGGTGAAGTTATTCCAATCAGGTTTTGTCTCCTCAGTTCCATCAGTTCCTTACCCTGCCATTTCAATTGAAGATTGAGCATTGTCTGATATGGTCAAACCACCGTTGTGGCTTTGACAGCTCACTGTGAGCACATGGGAGCCTTGGGTGAGTTGATGTAAGCATTTGTGGAAAATTGTTTACAAACCCCAACAAAACCCCGCTCCATGTTAAGTCGTGACAGTGGCACCATTTGAAGCTTGCGCATTGTGGAAGCACATCAGCAGGTCCCTCCGCAGTAACGCAGCAGTGGCGGACTTCCTGCTGGTCCTGACAAAGCCCTGGAAGGTCCATGTGGAGAATCTGCAGGCATTATTGTTGATATGTGTGTTTGTTGAATGTGAGATTAACTTAAGCTTTTGTGTAGAATAAGGCAAGTAGGGAAAATTAATCTTTGGTTTCTACAAGCAAGGAGATGCTGAAAGACTCAGTGACTTATCCATCCCCAATTTGTTCACTGCATTGCTTTAAGTCATCCTTGGTGTCATTTTCACTTACAGTTTCATATTCTTGGTGAGGTTAGCATGTTGGGGATATTGGATACCATAAAAGGGATCCTCAGAGCAATCAGATAGAAGTATCAAGTGAACAGAACATATTCTATATTCTATGTACCGAATTGTCAGAGTAAATGAACACACACACACATACACACACACACACACACACACACACACACACACACACACACACACTGAAAATTAACCCATTCAAGGATCACTCAGGAAGAAGGATGGAACCTGGGAAGGCATACTGACTGTGTGTTTCTTGGCATTTCAATTCCTTAAATGGGCTATTACAAAATACTTCCTTTCTCTCTGATTAATAGAAGAATGCTCATTACTCAGAACTTACATAAGGAAAGGAGAAAGAATGGGAAGAAATCCTTGTTATTTTCAGTATACTGGTGTGTTTCTTTGTGCACATTTTGTCTTTTTAATAAAAAAGGGAGCTCCCTTTTGCTTCTTGAGGTGGGATTCAGGTCAGTGACCCCAGCCTATATCCCTCCCTCCTCTGATGGTTAATTTTATGTATCATGTTAAATACTTGTGACAAACAGCCTGATGTTATTAAACGTTTCCCAGTATGTAGCAAATGCTGTGTGAATTCACGGGTGGGAGGGCCAGCCCAAGTGAAGTTGCTTGCACAGGGGTCTTTCTGAAGGTTTAGGGGCAGCATTTTAGAGTACCCCTTACAGTTTGCTGAATTGCATAAATTATACTTGAGTAGCCTTGCATTGGTTACAAGCTACCTTATAGCTCCTCTAGGTTGCTTTGGGATCAGCCAATTGAGTTTGAAAGAACTGAGTTTGGAAGCTTCTGTGGCTCACTGGAAGCTTGGCCAACTGCATGTGGGGCTGGTGCAGTTGCAGGATGCTAGCACCCAGCCAGGGCTCTGTTCTGCCCTCCATTACCTATACTGCCTAGAGCAGGCTCTTGGCTCCTGAGTTCAGAGTTCTCTTTCTGGAAGGTAGTATCAATCCACATGCCCCTTGGAGCTTTCATTATGAAGTTCACAGAGAGGATGGGAAGATTTATTCTGGTCCAGAGTCAGTGGTGACTGAAGTGCTGCTGAAGCATGCTACCATGGTTAGGAAAGAGCTTACTTCCGTTTTCTCACGTGAACCCAAGGACTCAGTGAGTGGAGCTGCATTTGTTCCCATTGCACCATTATCTGGGCATCATCGTCAATTTATTTATTTTCGCACCACTGAGTGTTAAACCCAGGGTCTCGTGCATGATAGGCAGTCTCTCTACCACTGTGAGCTACACGTCCAGCCCCAGCAGGAACTTTCTTGACAAGCTTAACTCAGGCTACCAAACAGCCCTTTGTAGAAGTGTTGTTAAGGTTTGGAAATGCTCCATGCTGTCATCTTCTGTCCATACACTGCCAGACTCGCCCAACTCAAGGAGGGCTATGTACCGCTGGGTGCCCCTTGTGGTGCCATGGTCTCTGGCAGGAAGGAGACTCCTTGAAGCAGGGGCTCAGCATGGGCAAAGGTTGCTCCTGGAGCTGATGGTTTCATGCTTGTCTGTTCCAGGTGGCCGAGATGCATGGGGAGCTGATCGAGTTCAACGAGCGTCTACACCGGGCCCTGGTGGCCAAGGAAGCCCTGGTGTCCCAGATGAGGCAGGAGCTGATCGACCTCAGAGGCCCAGTAAGTGCTCCCTACCAGCAAGCTGGTCTGAGCCTTGCCATGCCCCTCTCTGCACACTCCCTGTGGGTCTGCCCGTCTCCACTGACCACTGTCTTACTTCTGGGCTAGTTCATCCCTGAGAATGTCAGTGACCTAGGAGTGCATACCCTGTTCCTCCATGCACATGTACTTCCACCAGCCTCTCAATGTCCACTTTTGTCAGGAAGGAGAAAAATTACAGTCATGAGGTAGTACTGCAGCCATTCCATGTTCCCCCCCAGTGCTGTGGCCTGAACTGGTTTAGAACCTTCCTCCATGTGTCTATGCTCTGCTGCATGGATTGACGTTCAGTCAGAAAACAGGCTGGGTTTGTTGTTCTTAACTTGGACCCATGTGATTTGCTGGTATGGGTCTTTTTGTTGCTCATTTTTTCTTATTTTTGTTCAATAGTTTGGTTTGAGGAGCATCCTGTATGGGCCTAATTGTAGGGCTTTTCATCCACTCTGTTGACATTTTGATCATGTAATTGTTTGTTGTGGGACTGAACTGTGAATTCTGGGATTCCTGCTTTTCATTCTATTGAGGGTAATAATTTCATTTCCTTTGGACAACCCTGGTTTAGAGCTGCTGATTTAGTTGGGTCATTTCCTTGGCTCAGTCATTCAGTATCTGATGAACACAACCTGCCCTTTAGACATTTACTTTGTTTTCTGTCTTGTGCCTTTTTGAGCTGTGGTGCTGTTCCTTCCATGCATGCCTATCACAGCTTCACCTTTATTTTAAAACTTCCTATGCAAAACATCCAGGTCCAAGTGTTGGCAGGTAAGTAGTGTACACTCTCAAGTATCTAATGCCAAGTTCAACTTTAACAACTACCGCTAGTTTTATTTCAACATACCACTTCCTGTTTTCACACTCTGTATTATTTGAGTCAAATACTGTGCAGTACTTTATTCCTGGTCATCTTACTGTGTGTATCTAAAACTAAGACAATGTTATTCTAGTTATGCAGTGTTTGGTTGGTGTTTCTGGGAGGCCTGCTCTTTTCTGAGGAGAGGTGGAGGGGAATAGACAGGGAGCAGGGGAGGTAGGAGGAAAGATTCGGGGAAGGGAAACTACAGTCAGGATGTAATATATGAGAGATGAATTTTAAAAAACCTTTAAAAAATAAGTAAATATAAATGCTATACCATTCTCACTCCTTACACCCACTAAATCTTTTATAGCAGCAATTATCAGTGTTCAAATGTTCGACTCTCTTCAGATAGGTTCTTAAAATTGGGATCCACATGAGGCTCACACATTGTAAGTCATTGATTGTCTTGTGGGTTTCTTTCTCATAATTTAAAATCGTGGCAAATGTACCTAACTCATTCCAACCATTTCAGGCAGACAGCTCACTATCAGTGATTACCTTCATGTCAACACCCAGCCATTCGTCTCTGGAGACTGGCCATTCTCTCCACCTGAAATAAAACACTAACCTCCCTTCCTTCCTTCTTCAGCCTTCACCATCCACCATTCTGTCTTTGGGAATTTGACTTTTCTCTTATATTTTTGTCTGTTGGGTCCTCCCTCGTCTCTCATTCCCTTGCAGTTAGTTTATGGATAACACTAGGCTGTCTAGTTTTACATTAGAGTTTCCCTGGCAACATCCCTGGGTAGTGCTGTTTGACATGCTCCTTCTGTTTTTCTTTTCCTTGAGCTGTCATTTGGGTCCAGATACATGAAATTGGTTTTGTTTCACTGATGATGTAATTCTGGTTGGGCTGTCTCCTTTCAGGAGTCCACAACCTCTGTTGTCTCTTTTCATGATAACCTATCTTTGGTTATCTGCTAGACTGGTTCCCACTTGTCCCCCTCAAGTAAGTGCCTCCTCTTCTTGATGCCTCTGTAGCCCTGTCAATAAGAAAGGACAGTGTGTCTAGATGTCCAGATGCTCAACTGTGTCTCCCATGAATAGGGCAGATCTTCACGATGGTCCTGTTTCTATGTCTAGCTCTAAGTGCTCCAGCCTTGCAGGGTTGGCTGTAGAGGTGGGAGGCTGGGAGAGGGGAGAGGGAGAAAGAGGGAGGTAGGAAGGAGACTATCTTCCTAAGTTATTCTAGATTGTGCCAAGTTGAACTAATACCACACTTCATTTGTGGCCATCTTATGTGCAGCTGGAGCACATGTGACTTGGCTGTGAGGCAAGTATCATGTGGGGAAGAGAAGCTTTAGCTGCTTCTTTGCTTGATGTTATGGTGACAGTGTCTTATTCAAGTCTAGTTCAGGAAAGTTGGTGCTTAAACATGCACCATTTTCAAAGAGAAAAGTCTCCAGAGTTTTGTGGGATCTGAGGTCTTACGTGTTCACCCAGAGCTGTTTGGAGTTCCTCATTCCTACAAGCATTCCTTAGAGTTTCTGTCTTTCTTTAGAGGACAGCCTTAGCTCCACAACCACTTTCACTTCACTTCACTTCACTTTCACTTCATTTGTGAACAGTGAAAAAGTCAGGTAGTGGAAGGGAAGGGCATACCTGTCTGTCTTTAGAATTTCTCCTCCCTGACCAGGGCGCCAGGTGCAAACCCTGACACTTAGATCCCAGGCATCACCCCCACCCCTTCAGTCCACGCTTCAGTTCCTGCTCCTGAGGCACCAGCCTCTGATGAGCCATGTCCTGGACACAGCGCTCTGGGTGGTGAAGATATCCACAGTCCCATTGTGTGCTGAGTACTCTTCTGGTCTTCTTTCTTTTGGCATTGTGCACTCAAAGTGGTTTTGTTGTTGCTTATTTAGTTTTTACTCTAAAATGTCAAGCCTTTGTTACCGTTTTTGATCACACTGACTGTTTTGTCTTGGAGTTGGAAGGGCCTCTTTGGAAGTATCATCCTGGGGAAAGCAGACTTCCCTAGAAGCAGAACAGTGATTCCTGTGTGTAAGGAGGGCTCTGGCGGAACAGTTATTCGAGCTCTGGACAAAAGGCAGTAGTTGTTTTTCTTCAGGACCTCCCACAGGTGCTCCCCACAGGCCTGGCCGCACATAGCGTTCCCAGAGGTTTCTTCTCCAGGGACAGTTTCTAGGAAGGGACTCACAAGTGATTTCTGAGAAAGGCATTGGGAAGCTCTGACAGTTCCTCATGGTGCTTGTTCCTAATACATTCCCTACTGGGCTCATCTGAGGCTGCTGCGCCTTGGCAGCATGACCTGGCCGGTGACTTGTGGGCCCTAGGAAATGAGATTACATGTGTGACCCCAGGACCCTGGGGTAAGACAGGATGGCCACTCATTCCTAGCCCCTCCTGGCCTCCAGTGTCTTTGCAGCCTGCTTGAGGTCTTTGTTTAAACACTGATTTTCTAGACCCTTGGGGCCCCATTGACCCAGCCTGGCAGTGGCAAATGTATTGAGTTCATTTTGCCTCTCTTTCCCACCCCTTTCGCTCCTCGCCCCTTCCCTTCCTCCGTCCTCTTTGTTGTTTCTAGGTCTATGTTTGCTATTCTTTCCCCCTTTCTCTATATCCTTACCTCTCCTCCCTCCCCTATGTCTGCACTTTTGTTGCCATCTCTCTATGTTTCTTTCTCTGTCTTCTTTTACTTCCTGTGTGTTATTCTCCATCTTCACTTCTCTTTGGCTCTTCCATTGATCTGTCTCAACCCTGTGCATGACTCTCCCAATGCCCCTTGGTTGTCCCATCCTCCTTATTATCTCTTGCTTAATGAACTTTCACAGAAACTACTGCTATACCTGTACAGCAAACCCGTACACCCTTCCTCTTCTCATGTGAGATTTCTGTGGTGTGTGTGTGTGTGTGTGTGTGTGTGTGTGTGGTGTGTGGCGTATGCTGTGTGATGTATGTGTGATGTGCGCACATGCATGTGCATGATGTGTGTGTGTTATGGTATGGTGTATGTGGTGTGTGTGTGTGTGTATGTGTGATTGGTGAGTGGATGAAGAGAGTGTGGTTTCTTCAGCATCTCTTAACCCCTATGTGGACTTACCCATCCCTGTGAGCTAGCCTGGGCCCTGACCTGTATGTTTGTGGCCCTTTGTGGCCATGTTTGTTACTCTGAGTTATCACTTATGTCTACATCTCCTTTCCCCCCTCTGGACTGAGCTTTTGTGTGACAGTGACTATGTCTTCATGAGCCTCTTCTCAGAGCCTGGAGCACATGTCATGTGAATGTGACCACACAGCTCTGGTCGCTATGGTAACACCACTAGCCAGGGCCTTCTATTGTCTAGAAAAGTGGCCTCCCATCCTGCCAGATAGCAGACTTTGATAACCCCTTCTGTGAGCAGCCTGGGATGTGTACAGACTTCTTCCTCAGCTGTTGAGATGTCCTTGCCAATCCGAGAGAAGTATGATTAAAGTTCAGAGATGAGCAAGATGGGTGGACAGTTTGGAGTAAAGGTTCACATTGAAATGGGCCTGTCTCTGTATCTTTAAAATCTCAGACGGACTAACCTCATGTTGGGGTTGATGCTGTTTAAGGACAGAAGCTTAATAAGAAATTTATTTTTTGGCTTGGTGGCAGTTGGCAAATCTCTAATGATAGAGTGCCAAATTGTCTGCGGTCCCCTCAAAGCTCTGAACAGCACATCCAGGTTATAAGAGGCTTTTGAATTCTGTGCATGGCATGTGCATTTTAGCCGTCTGCTCTCGTGCAGATAATTCTGAACAGTGCTGTAAAGGGAGGCTTCCAAAAGTGTATCCCACATAGAAGCTTAACACAGAAATATTAGGTTTTTTACACAAAATCGTCTGGAAAATGCTTACAGGACCCTCTCTAAATTTCTCCACTGAAGGAGTAAAAGCCCCTTCTTGGGTACAGCTTTGTTTTCTGTTGATGGGCAGCTGCCCCAGTGGTGCCATAGCTTTGGAATGCATACCAATGCACCCTGGATTGTCTTGCCTCAGACCTTCCTTTCCTGAAGCCTGGGCTGAACTCTTGTTCCTGGTGTTTGTGCATCAGGCTCAGGGAGCTGGTTGCTGCTCTGAGCTGGCAGGTGCATGGACCTTGGCCACCTAAGACTTTTGGGTA